TATATATATATATATATTAAATGCTTCAACTTTGAAGTGGAATATTTCGATTTTTAATCCCGCTCCGAGTATTGAGTTTTAAAGCACATATGTTCAGGACACTAGAACAAATTTATTCTATAAGTTTCAGAAAAATCTAAAGAAAATGGATTTTTTTGGAGACCATCCTTAAGCGGAGAGCACAGACTCTTACATAACACATAAAATGAGGCATAAGAAAATCAATCAATCAGAATTCTTTATTTCACGGAAAGGAAGGAAATAAAACACTTTGATTGGTTCATTTTCTTATGTCTCATGTATTATGGATTAGGCGAGAGTCTGTGCTCCCCGCTTTAATCCTAAAATTCTAAAATTCAGCTAATAAGACTGCCAGTCTTAATTAATCCTAACTGAAATCTGTATTCCATATTGGTTAAATTTTAGGATTTTAGGATTAAGACCGAAGCATAACCCAGATAATGGTCTAGTTTCTACCAAGGATTTAATCCGGATCAGAATGTAAGAACCAACCAATTATAATTGAATATTCCTCTGTTACAGTTGAATGACAAGGGAATGCTCAACTGTAGTTGATTAATTCTTATATTCTGATCTGGTTTAAACCCTCGATAGAAACTAGGTCAATCTCATTGAAGCAATGAGAAATAACTAAGAACAAGCCGATGTAGAGTGTGCAGTCGAACTGCGTGCAAGTGCAAACAAAAGTGAACAAGTTTACTTGGTATTAACCAATTACATTATCAGTATTCTAGTAAATTTGCTCACTTTTGTAATTTTCACTTCGTTTCAAGATACAGAATCGATCTCCTGTAGTTTAATTACAGCTTTTGGCTGGTATTTATAAGCCACTATTTATAAAAAATAATTTATTTTTAAGGTCATCTTATGCATGGTCTATAATGGGCAGTAGTGGATTAAAGAGTAGGTATAAAAATCGGCCAACCATAAGTGAGAAAAATGTGAGAAAAACTACTGTTATTGCCCATTGTAAACCATTAAGTAATGTCTTAAGATACTAATACGGCTTCCTGATTGGTTTACGACATCTTAAGACTATACTTAAGATGAGCTTGAATATAAGAACAGACTGTGAACACTGACCATAGTCAGCCCTTATATTTAAGATGCTTTTAAGCATGATCTTGAGATGTTATAATCTAATTACATGTTGGTTTATAGGCTGATATCATGAATCAATTAGAAAGCTGTATTAGCACCTCAAGTCTAAAAAAAATGACTATGAATATCATCTGTATACTGAATATTCCGTTCTTATTTTTTAAGATCGTCTTAAGTGGCTTATAACATTTTAAGACTATGGTCAAAATCTCGCTAAATGTTTTGAAGCGTTTGATTAACCAATTAAAAGGAAGAATTTTATAAATTGATCAATCAAAAAACGCTCAAAATATTTGTAGCATCGCGTTGACCGTATGCTATCTCAAATATAAGGATCGATTATGAATATCGGTGATTGGCTTATAAGGCCTTATTTTAAAATTGTACTTAAGATAGTCTTAAATATAAGAACAGACTGAATCGTATTAGCAATTACTTTAGATGATGGTAAAATAAGGCTACGACTAACTGCCCTTGGAACAAATAAAAGATTTGTTCATGTTGCTTGAAATCTCTTAATTAAAATGTTTGCACTCAAAATAAGACAAATATATATTCAGACGTTAAAAAGAAAGTGAAATACTGAGTGTAAAAAGTGCTAGTAAACAAACCTGAATATATATTCGAGCGTTGAAAAAAGAAAAGTAAAAATTCTGAATGCAAACAGTGCAAGAAATAAATTTGTTCGTGTTATTTAAAATCCTCAAAAGTTTTTTACTTTCAAAAGTTTTGAAATATATAATCGAGTGTAAAGAAAGAGAAAGATGTTGAGTGAAAAAGATGTAAGCAACGCGAACAGATCTAATGCGAACAAAGGATAGAATGTATATCTTGAAATAAGACGAAAAAAATGAGCAGATATAAAAATATTTATAATTTCGTTGGTCAATAACTAGCGACTTTGCTCACTTTTATACTTTTCACTTCAAGCTACATAATCGATATAATTATGTTCAACACAAATTTTATTTCCTACCACTTCGCATGAAATTTTGACTGGAAAAACAATCGCGAAACAAGAATCAGAGTCTAAAATAGTTGAAAGACCAAATATTAATTTTTTTTTTAATTTAATTGTTTAATATCCAATAAAAATCGGTTCTAATTTGTTATTTCTCAGATAACAAAAAGTTAATATTTCTATCCGTGTCAATAAAATACTGCAGATTCGTTCGACAAATTAATTGTTTCATCATCACAAAAATAAACTTCCCGATCTCTAAGTGTAATGGGATAAGGTACTAGGTTTATATAAATGGGAATAATTCTGGATGCGCAATTCCTCAATAACGACGCATTTTTCTGACGAGGCACGTGTTGTCGTGCTTACATTGTATCTTTATACAACTATTCTTATTCCATTATCTATCATACGGCAACGTTACTTTTTTTTTGCAAGATTGTTATACTGTTGGATACTTCACTTTTGTTCGGTATTACATTCAAAAATCTGTCGGTGATTTTATATGCTTGCTTTTCTACCGTGAACATACTATTAAAAAGGAGAAAAAACGACATAAGCTCGCACTACAAACGGCAGAAAGGAAAGCATATAATCGCGGAATAATATAAATCGGAGTTAAATACAAAATGAAATCTCTACTGCTGTCGCCGGTCTCATGGTTTTCGGTGATTGATTTCGTAGCAGCAGTTGTCCACATTGTTGAAAAATTGTCGATATTCTTGCTAGGAGGAGCGCGACTTAATGGAATGATGATTGGACGAATGAAGAGATCGGTAGTAGTGAGGAAGAGTACCTGTGAAAAAAAATTAGTAGTCTACGTTGTGTATATGTATGCCGTGTATTTGTAAATTACAAATCAGGTTTTATGTAAAATATATATTCATTGACATCTGTCAACAAAAAGAGAGCTGAAGTAACAAAAACTAGGACATTTAATTTAAATTAATGTTCTACAAAAATATAATAAACATTGATAATGATTAATATTAACGAAGGTAAAACAACATTGAGAGAGTTTGCCGCTAGAAATATCTTAAAGCAACGACGCAAAAAAGATCAAGATTCGATTATGCGGCAACTCACCAGCGGTTACAACGCGAATTGCACAGCGTTCGCGAATGAGGATTTTCGTTAGTACGGCTGATGCCTCTGATTTTGGCGACCACCACCTCCTCTTTGTTTGCCACCATAGCCGGAGCCACCTGAAACAATGTCGACACTGTACCATTAATTTTTTTACCTTTATAGCATAAGTATGTAGCTACAAATATAATTGTACAAATTAATAACGTAGAACAGATCGAAACTCTTATAATATGACGCACGCACATCTCGATAAGAATACACTACGCTACTAACAACAATGAAGTACTACGAAAAAAGATATTACTACTGACAATAATGTAAGAACAAAGAGGCTACAGGCTAAGGTAGTAAGCTGCATACTACTCCATATCCTTCCTTTTGATATGCATCTCTCTAAGGTTCTAGTAATTTTTTCACCATCCTTTTTTTTGTTATTTTGATATACAACAATGATTAAGCAACACGAATTTGTAAGCAAAAATGACTAAAGCAAAGTAAATAAAGTTTTCTATTTTGACACTTCTACAATCAAAATTAATCGAAATTTAGATTATATTTATTAAATTGTATTATATTTATTAGATTGTAAGTTTGGGGATTAAATTGCTCTCATTGCAATCACAATGGGTTACAAGGATGGGTGCAATTCTAGCGGTGGTAAAGCTAAATGTAAAAGAGAGAAAGAGAGAGCAAAATAATGGGTAGTAAAATATATCAAGGAACGCTGTAATGCGTACCTTTACCGCGTACACCACCGCGCCCGCCCGCGTAGCCACCTTCGTAATTACCACCGCCATAGCCATAGCCATCTGCGTTTCATGAAACACATGGTACAATGGAGTCAGTATCCGCACGTACCATTGAGATTTCATTGCAAGAAGTAAAAAAAGAAAATATTAACATCGACTATACAAAAAAAAAACCAATTCGAATGAGAATTCTAGTCCTAGAAGAATGTTGCAAAGATACCCTCCGATCGCCAGGATACTGACCATTTCATTGACAGAAAGTACCCCACCCTGGGACATTACTTATAAATTCAAATTTAATTTACTATATATCTGCTATGTGAAAAAGAACAAAAGATAATCACCACCATATCCGCTGTAATCATAACCACCGTAACCTCCGTAACCGCCGCCGTAGTAATCGTATCCCCCGTAACCGTCGTACCCACCGCCGTAGCCACCTTGGCCGTAGCCACCGCCATAACCGCCTCCGTAGCCCTGTCCCCATCCACCTTGTCCTCCGAATCCGCGACCTCGACCGCCACGAGCTCCTCTTCCTCTACCCATCATTCCGCCACGCATTCCACCCATTCCATCCAATTTAGGTGTTGCCTTTTTTACATCCACCTGTTAAACAAGATCAAAATGGATCAAAAAAATTGTGTTTGTTGATTTCTGAATAATAAAAAAGTTGAATTTTAAATTTAATAACTCCTTTTTACTGTAGATAAAAATTCAATTTTACTGTAGATAAAACTTACAGCTTTCCCATTGATAGTCTGTTTGGGTGTCTTAAGAAGTTCGTTGACTACTTGCTCAGATTCAAATGTAATAAAGCAGAAACCTTTCCTTTGGTTCTTTGTCTTATCAAATGGCATCTCTACCTCGACAATCTGGAAGAGAAATGTGCAATAATTTCTTTTTCTTTCGACTTATTCTTTGTATTCGTTTCCAAGTAAAAAATATTTACGTTTCCAAATTGTGAGAAGAAGTTCTTGATGTCGTCATCAGACAATTCCGTTGAAAGACCACCGACGAAGATCTTTCCATGCCTAGCTTTCGCTTTCTTGGGGTCAACTTTTTTGTTGTTAATGACATGATCGCCAGCTGACATAATCTACAAGAAATTAGATTAAAAACAATAATATATATAAAACAATAAACATAATGTCAATCAGAGCCATGCACAAGGTGAAATATTATAATTAAATTTTATTAGTATAATATAATAATTATTATAAACGTTTCGGATCCATTTCAATATAACAAAAAAATTAATTACAGAAATAGAATTTAAAAATAGTCATCAAATAAAACAGAACGGGAGTAATCTGCGATCAGATGTAATGTAATTTCTTGCAAATGTAATTATGTTAAGCGTTTATTTATTGAATTTCCAAATTGATTTGAAGAGTATAAAATATAAAATATTAAAAATTATATACAATTTTAGAAGAGAATAGAGCTTTAATTCTGACAAATTGACTTACATGATTACGTCAAGGCAAGTCTTTCTGGTTCGCACTCAAGTGCGTGTGAAAGTCATGATAAAAATCATGATATATATAAACAAAAGTAAAGAGAGGGAAACATCAAGTCCTTGTAAATAAATTTAAATAGAGTGGATCAATAAATTCCGTGTCACTTTTAATGTTCAAACCGTTAATTCATTTATTAATAAAAATCATTTCTGAGGTCAATTTAAAAAAAAAAAATTTTCTTCGTCTAAAATTTTAACATTCTCCCAATTAAACTCATGAGAAAATTTTAGTCTGTGTTCAGTAATAAGAATATTGTGTTGTTTTCCAATTTATATTAACGAACACAAAAATCATAACAGTGTAATCATGGATTACTCCAGTTCAATTTTACGGTTTTATTTGACAACTACTTAGTATTGAATTCTATTTCTGTAATTAATTTCTTTGTTATATTGAAAAGGATCCGAAACGTCTATAATTATTGTATTATATTGATAGAATTTAATTAGACGCGTTCATTTTGTTCGACTCATCGGCATTATGTTTTACTGATTTATTTCTTTAGAGCCCTTCTATCTTTAATTTGTAATATATATATATTTTTTCTATATATATTCATAATACTTTTTTCATTTTAACAGATTAAAAAAAAATTTTTTCAATTACCTTATCGAGAGCTTCGGCCTTTGCAAAAACAATGAAGGCAAAACCTCTCGATCTTCCTGTGTTAGGATCTGTTTTAACATTAATACTCTCAATGTCACCATAAGTGCTAAAATGTTCCCTTAATTCCTCTGAAATAGATAAAAGATATTCGTGACAGATTTCCGGATAAAACACAATCTATCGACGATTGGAAATTATTAAATATAAGAATACTCACTGTCAGTAGTTTCCCAGCTCAAGCCACCGACAAATAATTTTCTGTAAACAATAAACAGAAATAAAAATTTTAAGCAAATGTAATTAGAGAATAATATGTTTGCCGCCCTAACTTTCAACCGCTATATCGCGGTGTTATGATAATTGTAGTAATATTATTTTAATTGAATTTATATAGGCACATAATATTAAAAAGTAAACGAAAGAGAGAAATAGGAATTGAATGTGCCTGTATCAATCATCCTGATTACTTCCGGTCAACCTGCAAAGCAATGGAACTAATTTATTTTACCAAAGAACAAAGATTTTTTAAGAGATATTAAACTAATTGCTTCTAATGAATTTAATATTGATTTAATGTCATTCCTGTGCAAATTAAAATTGTACTACAATTTAATAGAATGTAATTGATGGATGATCCATGATGCTATCTGGAAAAGGCACTGCAAAAAATTTTGTTGTATTTAACAAGTATGATAATAGCTATTTCTAATAGGGAATAGGAATTCCAATTGCAGCAATACACAATGTAGGTGTTGTCCTACATATAGATTTGGAAAAATAAACGTTCCTTGCGTATGAGACTAAACAAGATTCGTTATACTGATATGAATAAAAGGTAAAAGTTACAAAATACCATATTCCTAGAACAAATGAACTTTTATCAAGATAAATGTATGTTATTGTACAAATTACATATACAGTTGCTACGCGATAGCGTAGTAAAATTGAAGTTACGAAGAGTCGGCGGCTTTGCACACCACACAGCTCGATTTGAACACCATATATAACAAGTTTTATATAACAAGTGAACAAGTGAAAAGTATTAAAGGAAAAGTTTTAGAAAAAAAGTACATATGCATAAATATATTATATGTGTATATGTGTGAGTGTAGTAGAAAAAAACGCATCAAAAAAAGTAAAGTACTGTTACGATGATCCAAATAAGCTACAACTCCAGTTGAGATACTGCTGCCCCTAAAGAAAATACAAATAACTTCTCTAAAGTTACAATTAAATCCCGATTATTAATTGACCCAAATTAGTAGCATGTGGTAGATCGACTGCAACTCTATATTGGAAAGCTAAAAATTAATTTCCACATTACAACAGATTAAGATTGGTCACTGCACGATTTTGCTTTAAGTTCTTATCTCTTATTTTTTGTTATTTTTTTTATTGGAGTTCTTTTTAAACAATATTATTATGCATTACATCAGACACTTGTACATATAAGGATATTTTATCTTACAATTCGTCAAGAAGGCTTACATTACATACGACTGACTTGTCTTGAGTCTCGAGATACATTTTTCATACTTTTTTTTCACATTCAAATAACAAGCTGCAATATGTACACATTTTGCTGTTTTTATCTTTTCCTTAACTTTTTTCCCAGCGATGTTAAGTCTGTACTTATATATGTTTATTGAGATATATATATATATATATACATTATGTCGTTTTCATATCATCTATTGCTGATGATAAATACCATGGGTACCAGTCTCTCGCCGGTATCTGTTGTCAGGTCAGGTCACAGTTAGCCAGTTGCAAGCAGCCCGCCATAATCGCACTGGGACGTTTTAGCCACCTGCAGACCAAGTCACAGAAACTGCGTTAATGGCGTTCCGGAGCCTATTGGAGATGTTTGCATTGATCCTAGTGTCTCTGTGCATTTGCTCATGCCCAAATAATCCAAATATCACTCGAATCAGCGGAAATTACTCTACTCTGTATTATCCAGCAGGCAAGTGTGTGTCGCTGCGACACACGTATTTGATCTCAAGTAACATTTAACTCGATTTGACTCCAGGTACTTTCGTGTCGTGACGTAACATGATGGACTTGAGAACTCGATGCTCGACTGTTCACAATAATTCCGACCCCAAAGCTCATTCACGAAGCCTCACAGTTCAATTCAGAGAGATCCCACACAAGCATTGGACGGATTTGTCAATCGTTTTCGAGCAATTGACTAATCTGAATTTGACCGTAAACTGTACTGTGAATAAGGAAAGGATGACTCGTAACTTGTTCGAATGTGGATTTTCAAAATTATATTCTATAAAAAAAAATAGAAATACAAATACAAATGTCATTTCTTAGAGAGTATATTATAAGTAGATCTACATATACATACAAACTTTATCAATGATGAAATTGTGACTGCCCTCCATTAATTATAGGACTAGAAGAAAGTTTAAATCGGCTAAGTGAGAACAGAAAGAAAAAATTTACAAAAAAAGTTAGAAAGCTTGAAAAAAAAACAACAGATGGACACATACCTCATAATAAATAACACATGTGTAAAATTGTAATCACAGCATAGTAATGAATATAAAATTACATATTTACCTTATCTTTATTTGACTAAGCAATATATTTCAAACAGATTTACTACGAGTGCATAAGGTATCGGTAGGATGCAATAAAATTGTTCAATTGTATAAAAATTCACATTTTTTTTTTTAATATTTCTGTATATAAAAATATTTAACTTGTAAACAATTTCTTTGATAAATAGGGTACCGAGCTGCAAAGTGACGTCAGATCTGTCGTGCCCGCGTACTCTTTGCGTTTCAAACGACGCGAGCATTGAAGTGGAGCATTGAACGACGTTATCACGTAATGAAGAGGGGAAGAGGAGGAGGAAACAGAGAAGAAAGAAATAAAGCGGCAAAAAAAAATCAAACGTAAGTCAACAGAGTAAGTCTGAGAACAACGTGCGAAACATGCGACGCGAAGGAGTCTTTTTTGCTATCGAGTTGGCCGGTCGGTGCGACGCGACGCGAGAGAGAGAGAGAGAGAGAGAAAAAAAAGACGCGTCCGAGCTATCACAATAACGTAATTCCGCCGTATTCGCGAGGGACGCCGGGGAGCAAAAAGAAATGCATCGGCGAATGCGTCGCGGCGAAGCGATGCGAGATGATCGCGCGAGCGAGCGATCGGCGAGCGAAGGGCGACCGATGCGCGTGGATTACATTTCGTCTCAAATCGGCTCATCGCCATCTTGTCCGTGCCGTGTCGGAAGCGGGACCCGCCGCAAGAGACGCCGACTGAATTCGCGGGAAACCGCCTCGGCGGGACGCAAACGCCGATCGAAATCATTTACCATTACCGGGACTACCGAGGGACACTGGACGCCGCGAATTATGCCTGATCACGCGGCCGGATCTTACCGGAGTTTCTCAGTAGATTGATAAAGGAATATGGAAAAAGTCTTACCTGTCCTCCTGTGAATCCTGGCCATTCTCCACGGCGTCCCCGCCGCCACCGCCGGTACCACTCTCAGCCTCGCCGTTCTTCTCAAAATTTTGCTCCGCTACGTCATCACTGAAGTCCTTGTTCTCTTGCTGATCAGCCATTGTTTATAGTCGCGTTTTATGCACTCGTGTCAATGATACAAGGGAAGATCGAGAATACAGAAATTAATCACAATCGCACTTATATCGGAGGACGACTTCGGCGAGATGGATCCACGGCCAAGGGAAACGGAGTGAAGTGAGAGACAATAAATGAAATGCTCGCGTCAATTTTCGGAACGCCGAACCGACCTGCTCTCTGTCGGGAGAGACGCGAAAATCGTTGGACAAATTCGAATTTCGATCAATCGGAATCTGTCGAAGTTTAATATCGATGTTATGAAACTGTCAATTATAGCCATTCCTCTGAAGAATGGAATAATGTGATTGATCAGTTTCATACATCAATGTTAACTTCGATGTGAATCGAAACCATGTAAACATAAATTTTATAATTTATCAATTTATGCCTTAATTTGTAAGAATTGATTAATCACGGTCGAGGGAAATAACGACTATGATTAAGCGACTATGATAAAGGTTTAAAGCGTTTTTTGATTGGTTAATTTCTAAAATTCTTTCTTCTGATTGATCAATCAAAGCATTTGAAGCGAGACTTTGATCACAGCTAAAATTGATAAAATAATTAATTTTTACCATTTATTTAATATGAAAAAAAATTTATATTACGGACAATAATAATAATATTATATAATATAGCTAGGAATTTCACAATAAATACTTCCGCTATTAAATTAATTAGCAATTAGATTAGCGCACGTTGATACTTTCAACAAAATGGCTGACTCGCTTTTCCTCTTCAATTGGGAAGCGCGCCGTAAGATAACGCTACCAGCGCTGTCAAGAATTCGCCGATGAAGGTTTTGTTGATCCCCTCCCCTTCTCGTGGTCGGCATCTGGTCTCGCGCGATGATTAGATTAATTAGATCGTACGGTTAGAATTGTCTAGTTTGTAGGAATTGACTGACTTATATTTGTTATTATGGCTTCCTTGGTTGCGGATTACGGGACTTCTTCCGGTTCGGACGGCGAGACGGATGACAACGTTTCGGATAATGCGTAAGTTTGGGACGTTGCGTAAAAGCCGCCCTCCGAATTCCGATTGCATCCTACTTTCTTTTTTTTTCCGCAATCATTGAGTGCGCGGTTCCGCTCCAGTTTAATCTTCCGCGAAAAACACAATGCTGACAAACATTTCTGCCTAACGTGAGGCTGGCAGAATCTGTCACATTACAAAATGAGAATTGAATTTGACAGATCCTACAAACGCAAAACTTGACATATTGGATGCTTTCCATCAAAAGATGCAATTATCTAGTTTTTATTTATTTCTCACTTTCGTCAAATATCAAGCATATACTTATTTTACTTTGGGTTCAAAAAATGTATACTACTTCAGCTGTAGAAAACAGACCTATAATAACAAAGTGATAATTTCATTTTTATTAATATTGATAAATAATATGGATATTTACTTCTATCAATGTAGAATAATTTCAAGTTTAATTTCGAGTCAACCTATTTTTTACTTTCTTCTAATTCTAGAATAAGAATTAGTTATAGCGAATTCGATTTGACGCACTCAGTGCGTACTGGTGCATAGTAAAGTTATCGTACATAAAATAACATAAAGATATGTTTGTATAAATAAACATTATATATAAATATATAAATTGATTAAATCTTAAAATGATCTTATATATTTTATTATAATATTATTATAATAAAATACAATTATAATACTATTAGGTAAAAGATGTATTTCATAATTCGAAATATTTGCATTTCATTTTTATACTTAAATTAAATTAGTATATAATGGGTTTAATATGTACCAGTGCGTACTAGTGCTAATTGAATTTATTCATTAGAGAGAGATAGAGTAAAGAGATAGAGTTTAACCCAAGAGAAAAGTTAAAGTTAATCTACATTGATACAAATAAGCTGTAATTATTCACTGTGTCACACTGTGTTATCTTATATATGTTTATATATATTATGTTTAATAGATATCTCTTGCTGGAAATACCTATTTATTTTTTTGATACAATTCATATTCTTTGTTTTCTATTTCTTACTTTTTACAATTTTTTCTTATTTTTTTCCTTTTTTGCAACTGTTTTACTGATGTTTCTTGTCTCTTCTGAAACTTATTAACTTTTATTTCGAATCACAAAGAACAAAGAAACTGGATAAAAAATAAAAAGGCAAGAGGTAAAAAGTGATAATAGCAAGAAACAGGAAGTACATAATAGATCAGGCTTAAAGATTACACTTCTTAATATTATTGTCAATATTATTAATGAAAAAAAAGAATATTTTGCCAAGCATTCATTTGAGTTCGGCAACCGGTATATACATACAGAATATGGCTTGTTCTTTGTAATCTGATATTGCCTCACTGTTAGCTTTAAGGGTGTGGAGAAGATGGAATCAGACGGGGAGGATGAAGAAGAAGAGAACAACAAAGAGGAGAACAACAGGGATAATGATGGACACATAAGAATAACTGAAACAACAGCTTCCAAAGAAAAGCTTCCATTACCCACGCCAGATTTCAACAGCGCGTCCACGTTACTGAGGACTTCAGTATTCCTAAATCCATTTGTTGAGGCGGAGCGAGCAAAGAGCGCAATCCTGGAGAAGCATGTAAAGATGACGCCCACATTAGACGACACGAAGATGATAAACGGTCGCAAGATTTGCTGGAACTACCGGAAGGGTCGTTGCCGTTTCGGTCACAATTGTACTTTCGCCCATGACTCAGATCTGCATCGTAGCGCGGCCGAATTGGAGGCTCTACGAACGCCACAGGAAACGCTGGTCTGTCAAACTCGATATAATGGACAACAGCAGCAGCAGCAGCAGCAACAGCAACAACAGCAGCAGCAGCAACAACAGCAGCAGCAGCAGCAGCAACAGCAGCAGCAGGTACTGCCGCTCGTGAACGACGACGAGAATGAAATAGATCAAGAGAATAATCAGACAGCGAACAGAAAGCGTAAGAAAAGACCCGGCCTGTGCCAACTGTTGCTTCCGAGTAAGAAAGTCTATAAGCAGTTTAAAGCGCAACAACAACAGCAACAACAAACCAAAACTAGATGAATACTATTTCTTTATTTGATATAGTAATAGGTTGATAAAATTGTCTTCTAACCGAGTCGTTGTATATTTTTTGCGAATCGGAAAATACGCGCAATATCTTTCCGAAATATTAAACAGATCTTGCGGACGCTTTTAATAAACAAAAATTATGAAGGAAATTTGGCAAGAAATTGTGAGAAAGTAAAAATTATAGGAGAAAAGATCATAGCGAATAATTTTAAATTCATTCGTATATTACTCTTTTGAGAATCGAATTTTCTTCTATCAAAAAACAAAATGAAATCCATTAGCGTATAATGAGATTAACCGAGATCTTGCACATATCTCGTCTAAGGTCTAGCTTAATATTTAAAAGATTGCGCGAACAAAAAAAATTGTTAGATATATAAAGGAAAAAGAAAAAATTCCGACTTATGCTTCCAATATGAAGAAACATATGATGTGTAGAATAGGAACTTTTAATTAAGAGAAACTTTTGTCTCATATAAATTCGCAAAAGACTATTCAATATGTGCACAAAACAGGTGCATGCTGCCTTCTTAAGATTCATCTTTTGTAACGCAATGAACGCATAAATCATGTCTTCTTGTTATTTCGTTTTCTCATGTTTATCATCTTTAGCTAATTATTTACTAAATATTTGATAATACTGTTTGTGAGAATACCAAATAATATTTTACGATTGAATTCATACATAGAGTATGTAATATAATGAATCCGACCGAAATCACATTTTTACTTCCGGCCGAAAACGAAAACGAATATTCGGTTGTCATTCAATTTCGGCCAAAAACGAAATCGAAATCAAAGCTTAGATAAGTAATTTTTCTTATTACAAGAAAAAGTGAGAAAGAAAAGCTAACGGAGTTACATTATTTTTCAGTCGGAGTCGAAATCGACATTTTTTTTTTAATTAATTTAATAGAGACCGTATTGATTTTCAGAAATCATGACAAATTTATGTACTCTTTAAAAAACAAGATTTTATTAAAATATCTAACTATAATAATATAATAATATTGTCTCTTTTAAAGAAATCAAATCAATTATTATTATTAGGATCATATCAAAGCTTGTTTTAAGCTCAAATTGTCTTAAGCTTAATCAACGAATTTATAATTAAAATCAAATAATTGTTTTTTGAACACTCACCGGCACGTTGCAACTTATACAATTTCAGTTTATCCACCGAATTTTTCTCTTAATTTCGGCCAAAACCGAAACCCTGATTTTTGTCCGAAATTGACCGAAATCGAAATCGAAATTTCGTCGGACTGTCATGATATTTGACGAATTAGGAATACATCCCGCTTTCCAGATTCTTTATACCCACATGCGAAGAAATCCTACATACCTAACACAATAGTACTTCCATGCGTTTTTGTAAATTTAGGAATAATCCAAGCGCAATTGCTCGATTATATCCCTCTTTTTTATAAGATAAATCTTTACTTTACATTTCCTTACATTGCGATCGATGAGACAAATCGATACTCTTAAATCAGATATAATTACAACGTGTAGATATTGTGAATGATGGAAAAGTTAGTTTAGTAATACATTAATCTTTTTAAAGAAGTAATTGCGATAATAGATCGAAACAAAATAGAAGGATCGTAACAAACTAAATGTTTACTTTCCACTCTAAGGGCAAGTCCACAACTTTGCTTTAAGAGGCCATAAACCGTAAGCTAAATTGTAAATGACGGTATATTACCCACAGAGCTTAAACTTTTAGGCCATAAGAATAGGATTTTGCTCTATTCAATCTAATGGTTAAAGTTTAAAGACTGCGCAAAAACAGTCTAAAGATAGAAATTGTCACTTAATTTCTTTCGACTTATGATTTAAGACCTCTTAAAGCAAAGATTGTAGACCAAGACTAAGTGGTTAAACAGTGTTTTACTAATATGTTAATTGTCTGTTGGAAAAAAGGATAATAATAAATAATTACGATAATAGATCAAAATAAGAGAAACAGTGTAGAAAACTAAGAGATTATCCTAACTGTAACTCGAAAAAAAGAGGCTCCTCCTTTGTGAGGATTTCTAACAGGTTGCCAATAAATGATTCAGCTGTGCTGAAACAATGTCTTGCTTAATTCGTATTTTCTTCTAATACCTAATATATTAATAAAATATATAATAACGCATAAATACCTTTAAAAGACTGCTACAGCAAAAGGCAAATATTTAAAGTTTATCTTAATTATTTAATTAAGATTTAATAATTGTTTAATAATTATTTAATTAAATAAAGAAAAAATAAATAAAAACGTAAAAATAAATCTTTAAAATTTTTCATTCAATCATTATTTTAAAATATATCTTTAATCACAAGCCATCCTAAATGGAATGTTATTTAGAGATGTTAAGTAGAAGAAATAACTATAGAATTAAAGTGAAAATTAACTTTTCATTTAAAAGAAAGAGTTTCTCTTGAAATGTTTTAAATAGTTTTAATAGATTTAGCATGGTTGAGACATAAGACATGATAGGCACGTGACATTGTTTTATTAGATGCTTATGGGTACAACGTTCTGTTCTTCAGATTCATTATCTAAACGTAAACTGAGTGCGTATTGATAATTCACCGTTGTATCATCGAATGAAAATATAGACTTTCGTGTTTTTATACATATATATTTTTTATAATATATACATATATATATTTCTCTTTATTTCCGCGAATGAATGTTTCACAGGCACTTCATCTCTAAACAGTAGCAAAAATTTGTGAATGATTACTTTGGCGTGTAGAAAATGCGAAAGCGACACATATGGATAAGCGTCATCGCAAAATTCATCACCAAGTTTTAGGGTCACGAGTAAAATATACAGGATCTCGTAAGTTATACTTTTCTATCATCATCTTTTTTCCAATAAATCTCTTGTCCCACTGTTTGTGAGATCTCTCGCAATTACATCGACAACACATATTACAATTAATCACAAAAATAATAGATTCAAAAATAATTGCGCCACATTATATACAATTAACTTAATTACTTCTATAGGCAAGAACACCTATTAAGTACTGATATATTCAATCGTTAAGAATTCGCCATGATTACAACAATAAGTTGTTCTATATCATTGCCATATTTTTTGAGTGAGTTATCAGATTACAATTTTATCTAAAGACTTAGGGATTCCTATATACTAAAAAATATATACAAATCTCTCAGAAAGCTTGAGAATACTCTATAAAAAAAGCTTTGGTTTGCTCGACAATAAAAAAGAATTCATTCTCATATTAATTGCTCGAAAATATTTCAAATACAGCCTTGTACTATCTTCAATCCTCTCTTAGTCAGGAAACTTTATAAATTTTCAATTTTCTTGTATAAAAATCGAAAATTCAGAAAAATTTAATTTAAAAAAATAAAATGTGTGTGTGTGTGTGTGTGTGTGTGTATGTGTGTGTGTGTTGTGTGTGTGTGTGTGTGTGTGTGTAGGATAGCTTTTTAAAAATAGTAGTAAAAGAAACATTGGATAACGCCTTAAAAAGTGTTATACAAGTTTCAATCTTTCCTTCCAATTAAAAAAAAACTATTATTCTCTGTAATCAAACGAGTTAATTTTACTCTAAAGATTTTAGAAATTCACAATTTCTTAATTAGAAGATAAAAATATTATGCGAGGAATTTTGTTCTCTAAAGTTGCCGCAGTTGAATTCGTGCTTCAAGAATTTTGCAAAATATCTCGATGTTAATTTTTTTTCTAGTACATACACACATTGTCAGAAATGTCTAGTCGTCTGAATTTGTAGGAGTATTGAGGTAAATAATTATGTCACATTATATATATATTATTATTTACACATTATATATATATATATGCTGTGAGAAAAGAAAAATATGAAAAATTATGTAAAAAATTATGTAAATTAATTTTTCAATTACTTTTTTTATTAACTTAACTTTTAATTCAAATTTCATTACGGATCTTTATATCTTAACTAAGTTAAATTTGCCAGGCTTAACTTTAACTTTAACTTAGTTTTAAAAAAAGTTGTCTTACCCAATCCTGCTTATAAATTATTAAGTTTAGTTTCAGTTTAATTTGAATTTAGTTTAATTTTAATTAAGTTTACAATTATCGTTTTTCAAATAACCATTAATCATAATGTATGAATATTTTTAAAAGAAAGTGCAACTTAAACATGTCTCGATATTCCTGCAAATACAAATGGCTAGGCATTTCTAACGGCATATGTACATGTAGAAATTTATGCAAGTGCTAAAGATCTGATAGCTCACTTTGATAGCTCAATTTAAAACTTCGCTTTTAAATTTCGACATTGCAGTACTGTATCAGCTATGTATCGCAAAATATTACACTGTTGGAACATAAATTTTTGACATCTTTTGTAACTTTTTTTGACATTAAGTACGTTACAGAGATATTTAACATATCTAACATATTTGAATTCCTTGTCATCTCAGAAATTTTGCGATAGTTTCAAGAGACTTTTCCAATAATTTCTTAGGATATATGGCCCGATAACATTGTTTTTTTAAATGATATTTCTCTTTTATTTCACGTTCTCAAAACGCTGATTTTTTGTAATACGATACGCACATTTCTCTATCACAATCATTCTTCCGAGCTTCCAAAAGTTGTTGGACAATATTTGAAGCATATGAAGAGTAACTAGAGTAAAGTAAAGCAAAGTACAAATACTTGGTGCATCAATGCACATCGCTTATTCAGTGGAGCTGTATTGAAAACTTGCTAGTACCTCGTTTCATCAATGTCGCGTAACTTTAACTTTTGTTCAATTCATCTTTAATTCCTCTTTAGTTTATCTTTTATCTCCTCTTTCCTATATAAACTCAAAAAGAAATGATATGAGAAGTGATGAAACTTATCAATTACACGAAGGACGAAAGTGATTTCAATCAACATTTCCTACAAATATTATTTTTTCATCTAAAATTTTAGAGATTTTTTAAAATTGTAAGAAAATGTTAGGAGAGAATGAAAAATGTATTATTTAAAAATCTGTTAAATATCTTAAGATTTTCTGAAATTTCGTTTAAATTTCGTCATACATTCTTGAAAGATTTACGTTGGATCCTAATTCGGATTCAAATTTAATCGACGTTGACGAAACTTGGCCATAAGACCCTCCACGAAAATTCCTTAAGTACGACACGCAAGTTTGATTAAAAAATAGATATTATCTGTGTGAAATTTTAGAAGTCTATCGCACTAGCAGTTATTTACTCAGTATTAATTCATAAGATTCGCATTGATACTGAATTTAAGTCCCCGTTACAATTCAGAATTGTTTGCGAATTACTTATTAAGAGATTTTATTGTTTCTTTAATTTTTCGTATATCCTTAAAATCTATTATCAAATCCATTCTTCTGCAATTTATCGACTTTTAATTCTCGCAAACTTTCGTCGGGCCTCATGGTTGAATCGCCATTGCGAATTTCTGGTTCTTGGCCATCGCCATTTATGTTACATCGCTCGGCAAACGTCGCCTTACCGTTGGTCAAACCATTTCGGGCGCCATTGACGCTCTTGTTAACGATCGTCTGTTGATAACAGTTTATAATCGGACTCAATGTGCTACCAGCTTTGCAATCGATTCCGTTGCTTTGTATCATGGTCGTTAGACTCTTCGAAATCGGGATATCTTGATTGTCTGCCAATTGCATAGTGCCTGCAAAATGTCAAGCGCTATTCGTTTACATTCAGATACAGCAGTTTCTATCATTAGTAATCTCAGATAGTTACTATTTAATGCGGTTGAACTACATGAAGCTCGAATAGCCGAAAAAATTTATATCATCGAACCACGTTTTTCTATGTTTATATACTATAGGTATATAAGAAATAAACTTTTCTAATAAGATCAGTAATAGATGATACAAAAATGAATGTACTTATGTAACAAAATAAATAGATTTTTTAGTTACAGGATGTAAGTACGTCAATACAATACCATGCAAGTTATGGCAGTATTTATTAGTACTGTTCCATTCTTCGAGTAAGCTGAGGTTGAACATGCTGTAGTCTGGATTACCGGTGACTTCCTTCTCGATTATGAGGAATTGAGGCAAAATGTTTTTCAACTTATCAGCTGTCAACGCTGTGTACGTTTCGAGTAACATTAAGCCTCGACATCTGTAAAGTATGCAAGAGTTATATTATTTAAAGCGATATTAAAGCGATATTAGAGACATATTGTTTTTTCTTCTCTTCCGATAAAGAAATAGATAAGAATAAGTACGTAAGAATGAAGCAAGGGTCTTAGTAGAAGCGAAAAAGATGCGCCTTTTAAAAATTAAATATTTAAATATTTAATTTGAATCTTGAATTAATTATATAATCGAAATATTTCTCGAGATATATTTCGTATGCACACGCTATTGCGACAAGTATAAAAAGATCAATCATGTAAGATATTTTGGATTTACTAAGTTCGTTTTTTTATTACTTTTAATTCAATGTTTTAATTCATTCAGTGTTGAGAATGTTGTATTACCTGGGATGCGCCGGTTCTCTGTATATGTCTAATTGAAAATACTGATTGTTGATTAGAAAGCAACGACGACGTTTGAAGATAGTGAAATGCGAGTCATCGCGCTGGGCCAACATATTCAGGTAGTCTCGATGCGTCAGCTGGGTCTTCACCTCGATTACTTGGCCGCATATTTTTGGTCGACGAATTGTGTGAATGTATGACCAGTGACCTTTTATAAAGAATAGAAAATTCAAATTGTATCATCACTCGAATCTTCATTCAATGTAGAAAAGTAAAATGTGACAATGATGCGATATTAATTCAAAGATTCTTACAAAAACTTATCAAATTTTCCCATGATAATGATGAATAAACTTTTCTCTTTCAAGTGATAATATTTTTTATGAACAATTGGATCACTAAAGGGAGCAAGAGCTTTTTATCGATCGCAAGGTGATGATTTACCTTTCTGACCGCGCTTGCGTAAACGGGCCTGCATCTTGGGATTGTTGCTCTGGAGGTAATTATGCACGACATCGAAATCCTGAAAAGGCGGGAACTCGCTATCCACCGGCAGTGGCGCTGTCACGAGGAACTTGACCTTGCGGCTGCTGGCGCGTAACCGGTCACCGGTGTCGATGCCCAGTTTCTGGCAGACACATTCGATCATCCGGCAGATTTTTGACTCGAAATCCTGCGAGTTATCGATGACATCAAAGTATGGATGACCGACCCAGGCAGCTGCAGCTTTGTAATCGAGTTCGCGAGCAAGTTCGACACCTTCGGAGCGACACGCGTGTTCCTCTGTGGAGTAGAATTCCTCGGCGCCGTTTGCGGCCGAAACCATGTGGATGATTTGGTTATACCTGATCAATACGGGAGAAAAAATGAATTGTTTTATGGTGAAAATATTAAATAAATTATCAGCAGAGTAAAATATAATACAAATATAATACAAATATACAAATAGAACCTGCAATATTATTAAAAAGCATGAGAAGATTAATTTATTAATTTTCATATCAGTCCCAGAAACAAAGACGAGTGATGAATTTATAAACTTTCTTGTATCTTTAATTTCAATACCTGTTGTCTCTTAGTTCGACGTTGTTCCATCCGTTTGATGCCATCATAAGCTCCCATTTATCTTTTGAAATGACTGCAAAATTTTTCTCATTAATTTTTCACTACTGAGAAAATTTTTCTAATTAAATCAATTCTTTTTAAAGATTTGTACTAACAGGCGGAGGCATCCATTGCACCGCGATCACAGATGATCAGGCAATTCCTCGAACAACTCTCACCCAGTTGAAAGAAAGTATTCTCGATTTGTATCATCGTGCGCAAAAGATTTTCCTGAAATTTGAATGCTGCAACATACGTAGAAAATGCAGTATTATACAATGAATGTTTTCCCTCAAATTGTTATATGCAAAGGACGATTCAGCGATACTTGAAGCGCTAGCCTGAATAATCGCGTCATTTATCTCGATAAAGAAGATCTGAAATTTTAAGGAAGATAAGCCTTAGCTCGATAAACTTCTTTAAATATTTTTACAACGAGTATACTAATCAGGTTGTCTAAAAGATAATGATAAGATAAAATTTTCTATAGTTAGAGGTTTTATTGATCCTTGGATAAGACACTTTTGAAGCGAGATTCTAGCGAGACAAGCGGATCCTTGTTCGTTAAAATATGAAAACAAAATTCGCGACTTTTTTTAATCGATATTTTTTATATTTACATATTTAATAGATCTTTGATTCTGTCTATATTATTTTGTCAACTTTGAAAAAGGCAAGAATTTATCTTGGATAATTTCATTTCACAATTGACCGATGAAGAGATTTGGCTTATTTTAGAATAGAAAATGCGCGAGGATTCGTCTCTCATTAGCGAATTTTAGATTGCCTTACATTCCATTCAAGGCTGAGACACAATGAAGTGTAAAAATTAAAATGTAAGAAATAGGGAATATAAAAGATTTCGACGATTTGCAGAATTGAATATGTATATAAATTCTGAAATATTTAAGCACTAAGATTCACTGTGACCAAAAATAGGTTTAGTTTTCTTAATTGATAAAATATGTATAATATTGCCGACACGCATAACTACCAGAAGCGATCGATAACCAGGAAGATGCGGCTACGGGATAAAATAAGCTCCTACGTCTACTAGGCAGCATGAAAAAGTGTGTCGATATTATAATCGACTTGTTAATTAGCAAATTAAAAAAGTGTTAATAGAAAAATTAATTTTATAAAATTCTGCGCATAGATAAAAAATTATTTAATTTTACTTTAACAATCGGAAATTATTTCGCACACTTGAAAGAAACTCTTTTGATTTTCATTTCATCATGTCAATATCATTGGGCGTGTTACTCTTCAGCTTACAATTCTTCGAAAAGGATTAAATTAATTTTTTGAAGAATAAATTTCAATACTAATAGATAAACAAAGAATTTAACGCTAATAAATAATCATATTTCTCGCACATAAATAAAAATTAATTGAATGTTGAACAACTTTAAATGCTTCGACCTCGCATTAAATCATCTTTAGTGAAACGCTAATCAAAATATTTTTTTCTTTAAGAAGAATAAAAAAATGATTGCTGCAATAAATTCTATTTTATATACTAGGTGCTAAAGACGATTAATTTTAACAAATGAGGAGCAGACTTTCAAAATGCGTTTTGTTCAAATTTCATTTTTTTTTTAATTAGAGGTGGCATAACGTTTAGTGTTAAATGTTCCATTATAAGCTACTCTGAGATATTCAGAAATTTTTTCATTGTTAATTTAAGTCTATTCTATAATATGCTTTTTGTTTCTTGTTTCTTCTTTTTATCTATTTTTTATATCTTGTCTTTTTGCTTCTTATCCTGTTTTTCGGTTTCTGTCGCCTGAGATAAAAGTTAAGAAACTTAACTTAAATACAGAAGAAACAAGAAATACAATTGTCGATAAAATGGTTGCAAAGGAGAATAAAATAAAAAGGAGAATAAAAACAAAAAACAGAAAACAAAGAGCATATTATAGAATAGGTTTTACATGCTGAAAAAACATATACATTTGGAAGTGCATTATGTTTTTTAACTAGAGACAAATAAAATACATTTATTTAATATTTCACATATTACTACTGATTGGATATTATTATTTTCTGCAAAGTGCATAATTTTCTTGTGTGTGTAATTTCTTTCTTTCTCGTTTTCTGAAAATTATAAATTTTGAACAAAATGTATTTCGAAAATTCTGCTCCTCAAATATTCTTTAAAGCAAGACATTGAAAAATTGATGAAAAATACAATTTTGATTATCTTAAAAAGAGCTCAAATATTTTTAAACCAATTGCCTTCCTTATTCTTGTTCTTATACTGTATTACATCGTGTCTCAGGCCATATATTCTAGCGCGCTAATTCGGACTCACCCACACCAGAATCGATCTCCAAAATCTCCGGCCATCTCACTTTGCCTTCGTTCCTATGATCTAGATGAGAGGATCTCGCGTGCAAGGAATACGGGCTCTCCGCTAGAATCAACCTTGATCTTGGCCTCGCGTCGTCTTATATTAAAACTTGGAAACTCGAATTGAAAAGAATATCATGCTTCTCGCTTTTGCACCCGATGATCAAATCGCGAAAGAAATAAGACTCATTGAAAGGAAGACTGATGAAAGAAGTCTCGCTAGATGAAGATACGAATTAAACTTTTGAACCATCGAAGTTTGAAATTCTTCGATTGTTCTCGATTTCTGTACAATTTTCCTTTTTAACGAAATTAAATGAAATTTTTTCTCTTTTGCGCAAGTATAGCAGACTAGTGTCAAGAATCTAATATCGTTGACAATAAGAAGAAAGAAAACACGCGGATCATATTACCGCACTCGAGTTTCGCCAACAACATCGTTTTTTTTATCTTTTTCTTTTCTGACTGACGAAAAAGAATTCCTTCGCAAAAGAATAGCACAATAACAAATGACGAGAAGTAAAGGTGGTAACAATTCAGTTTTTTCTTTCAATTTGTCGCGAACATCGTAAACGCACACGTACGTTCTTTCAATTAACTACGGTCTGTGAGGAATCAAAAGAGTTGAAAAGTTGAAGCTTTTAGAGCTTCAAAAAGTGCTAATCCATCGTGATGAAATTTAAAATACAAATGCAAGCAATGTTGAAAAAAATGTCTGGTTGGATTAATTGAAAAGTAGACGAGAGAGAGAACTAGAATTTTCTATTAAATCCACTAGAATTTTTAAGTTAAGATAATTAGAATTCTGATTGATATAATCAGAATTTTTCAACCAGATATTTTTCTCAGTGTAAACTAAAGTCATGAATTTCTAACTTTTTTTATTTCTGCAAATTTATTATCCACTCGATAAATATTTTACAAAAACTGTCATATGTTTTTGATAAAAGAATCTAAAAAAAGCAGAACAAATTATCAGAATGACGTCAAAATCAGCATTTTGCAGTCATTTGTAATTCACTTTAACGTCATTCTGACATTATCGTGATTTGTTCCTCTTGGTAATCGCGTCATTTTAATATATATGATTAATTTCCAAGTAGCAAGCTGACGTTATTTTTTCGTTAATTTTTTGTCAAAATAGCGTCAAATGTTATCCAAATAATGACAAATAATCTCAATTTGCTACCTAGAATGTCTCGTAAATTATCTCCAGCTCAATTTTATTGACGTGATTAAACGTTCTATATATAGCTTTTATAATTGTATAATGGAAAAGATAATGCAAACCAAAGTAAATTTGATATACATGACATACAAGCTAAAACGTAAGCGGAGGAAGCCTGATATTCATGTTCGTTCATTTCCGTTCAAGGGCGAGCTGATTAAAGTCACACGATCGTCTTACGTAAGGGCGAATGAACACAATTTCGAACAGACACGATCACCGACGTAGCAACATTTATTATCTTATCTCAATATAACGCAAACCAGTCTCGATGGGGTGGGACGTTTTATGAATTCATCAAATAAAAAAGAAGTGTGCATCGACAACTCGGCCAAGCGCACACAATACGTTCTGCGCGAAGTTATTTGCGAGAGAAATATAATGGTGCAAGAGAGATTAAAAATAGAACGGGAGACTGAAAGGTGGACCAATTGACAAGGCGAGACGTAAAACGGACGAAGCAATAAGTAATGAAATTTCGCGTGACGATCAGTCAGTGTGAACAAAGTCCATCACACACTACACTATTAGATATATATC